GATAAAACGTATTATGTGCAAATGCGTGAAGACTGATAAAGTCAAACAAATAGTACATATGAATGGAGCTTCTCGGGAACTTTTACACTCAAACGGTTAGTTTTTTTTTTCCTTAGCATTTTCTACGACCAACTATTTAAACTGTTTATACAACAGTCGCTCTCTGGAGATGACAAACATGGACTATCAATTAGACTCATTGTTTTGAATTTTGTAGACAAAAATCACTTTAAAATAGTTCACAGTGTCGATTATTAAAAAAGGATGTCTAGAAGAGACTTACGCTGTGGTCGGACTCATGGATGACAAGCGGGTCATTTATAGGTGAATGTTGGAAGGAATTTCGATCGGAGGTCATCGAAAACTCGAAAAGGCGTTGTTGTTACTTTTGGTGGCTGCTGCTAGCAGTGTGAAAGTGTCTCTAAGTGTTATTTCAGGTTTGAATTTCATCAAATTCCAGTTTTGTCGACAAACGTTTATTGTTTTTTCTTTTTTTCGAAGCAGTAATAAACAATCAGTGTCACTGTCACTAAATCAAGGCTTTTTCTAATGAATACTTCAAAAAGAGGAAGTTGTCTTTCTCGTTAAATCGATACAGGAAATAATAATTTCAAAAGTGAAATGCTGAACAGAGTAACATGATAACGGGTAAAACAAATGCAATAATCGGCACACGGATGACTTGTATCGGAAGAAATTTGATGGAGAAGATTCCAGCAACTCTTACTTTTCCAAGCTGTTCAGGAATGATCTTCTCTAGTGAATAATAATACTATCAGAAAAGCAGTAGAATTCAAGTCAAGATGAAACTAGTGAACTCGATATTACTCAATTTTCGATCCTCCAGAATCAAACGTGATAAAGACTGAGAAAGCAGGAAACAGGTAAAAAGGGTCCAGCTAAGCAAACAGCTATTATCAAAACAAGTTCATTATGAACTGATACGACATGATTAGGACCACAAGCACACCTTATTGATCTTACTGACAAGATCATCCGAAGAAATTGTCATTACTACAGACAAGGCGAACTGTCTAATGTGATGATCGTCGCTGTGTAAGAATGACAGTAATTCAATCAATACCTTTCAAGAGTTAACTATTGTTGCTGCTTAAAACCATCGCCGCAGTAGTTATTTCATGACGTTGTATGTTAGTAATATCCATTAGTGGTGACGTATCACGTGATATTCTGGTTTTGTATCAGTAAAACAGTGATACCGCAAGTTATTGGTGATGACGGTGGTACACACAACTCACAGTTAATTCTTCCAACTTCTAAGCGCAAATTTTCCAAGAATTCCAAAATACGGAAGCAGAAAGCACTCTCGGTCATAGATTGCAAAAGAAAAACCAATATTTCAAGATGTGATAATATACTGAAGAGGTGGGTGAAGGAAACTCCATAAATTCCGAATAAAAAGACTGAAATACTTTATGAAAAACTGATCTTAAATTTAATAACTCATGCAATTTGATAATCGTTCCCGGAATTTAGTGGTATTAGCTTCATACAATGCCGATCATCGGAAAGATGAAAACAGACCGGCATAAAAATCTTTAAAAAATTCAAATGATACGGCACTGATGTTGTAGACTTCATTCATTTAGCTAATATGGTACCGACTTCAATTTCTTGCCTTCGTAGCTTAAATTTTCGCAATTACATTAAAATCAAAAAATTTATTTGACTTGTTATTTCTCAGGAATCGTTTTTGCCTGTGATATTAGCCACACTTATTTGACCAATTTTTTGCTTGAAAAATGACTTAACACTAGTTATTTACATTCCATATATAAAAGGGGGAGGGGTGGGGAAGATAAGAGGAACTTGTAGTTTTTAATTGGTTGGGTTATTAACGACTGGATGTTTAAAACAAAAAAGGAAAGTAAAGCTACGTCAGAGATCTCAAACTGTTAGTAAGTTTCAAAACTAAAGAAAAAACTAAAGATTATAACAAATAATTTTGCCAAATTTTTTCCCGACGACGATATCAAAAAAGTGGATGAATGACGTCGTGAACTTAGAAGGGTCATCCTGTATCATCAGCTTCTGTTTCTTATAATGACTTAATTCCAATCAATCATTCAGATCCAACCTAAAACTTTAAGGGAAAAAAGAATATTGGTGTTATAAAAAGAAAAGTAAGGAGTAATTACCTAAGACAGTGATGCCGCAACTTTCTCTTTCCCAAAATATCGGAAATCATTTTCAAAGATGTTGCGGTTAGGGGCAAAGAATTCATTAAATTAAAATCTCTGAAATAAAAATTTATGCTGACAGTCCGAATATCTCCCTTGAATATTTTCATTTCTCGTTTAGCAAAAAAGTACTAGGAAAGGATATTTATAAGGTGAGTGTATATTTGTCCGACAAACGGAAGTCTCAGAAGAAAAGTTATCCTTTGAATTAATGTTTTTAAATTCCATCCTCATTTTTACATCGAATTACAGCACAACTCGTTCAAAATGAAGAGAAGCTCCGGTAGAGTAGCAGAGATGAATATTCCGCTTAAATTTAACTGTCACTTGTTTATGATACTTTGCATTCATGTTTTATAGTTTTACAAAAAGATATGAACCTCTGAATGCGCAATATTTCTTTCTTCCGTATCAGTATATTTGACTGGTAACACATCGGATTTTACACCTGATCTCTTTCCAAAGATAATGTCACCAATTTCAATGACATTCATTGAATTCTCTTCAATTGTCGGTGAAATTTTTGTCATTTTTCTTTTCACTGCAAGTAATAGACCTGTCCAAGCATTATGCCTATAAATTATAATTAAAATGTTAATGTTCATCTTCTTTACAATGATTTCAAAGAATTACGGCTGCAATTTTACATCATCAAATCACAGCAGAACTCGTGCATACTTGCAACTGCAAAATTGTTCAATCTAAAACAAGAAGAATATACTTCGCTAGTCAAACTTTTAATAAAACGACGAATATTTTGTACATATTTTTATCATCCTTCTTCACAAGATGCAGTAAGACAAATTTATGATATGAAGCGATTTGAAGAAAGCAAAAAAAAAAACGGTAGATGCTTAAGACCAATTCAGCTACAAAAGCCTACGTCAAATGGAAGAACCATTACAGAATATGATTCTGCAATGTGAAGGAGTTTGAATTTTATTGAAATCAAATCAGAAATTATAACACAATGCTGCTGTAAAACAGGTTTTTTTCTGTGATTAGCAAAATGAAAAGTTGATTAGAGTGGTTCGTTTGAAATCAGAAAACAAAATTTCTGAAACTTCGCTCAATCCTTCAATGGTAATTAAGTGTACTACTTCTAGCAGTTGAAATTACTTTGATGATTTCTACAACGCCTTTTAGGTAATGAATTGCTGAGGAAGGTCGTTGAATTTTTTAACGGAGAGATGTTGAAATTTGACGAAAGTCTTCTACGTAATAACATGGAAATATTAGGCATACACTACAGAATTTTAGGATTTTGTTAGAGCTATCGTTATTAGAAAATAAAGTTTGCCACAGTATTATAATATAAAAAGTAACAGATTATGCTCGCAGCTGCAGCAACTCTGTTTTATGTACATATGCATCAAATTGCCTTTCTCTTATCATATTATATCATAAATATTTTAAACGACTTACATATCCTGGAAAGGAATATGACTGACGGACGGATTTTCTGGACTAAATTGAACTGTATCATGCTTTTCCCATTTATAGTTGAAATGATTTCAAGTACTGATAAGTTGAAATTAAAAGTGAAGCAAATATTTTCTTTCTCTTAAGCTTTTCAATACCATGATAGTTTCTACTGTTTTCCGTTCATATAGTGATTTCCCTTTCCTGTCACTGCCTTGTAGGATGAAAACATCGTCAACAAATCAGAACTACAACCAGTCAGTAACAGAATGATTCTTGTTGCATGAAAAATGAAGGCATTTCTTCAAATGTGGTAATTTTCCACTTGCAAGTTCATCCCTTCATTTCCTGTTTCTCTAATATTTTCTCACTTTGATTTTCAATATTATATAATTTCATCGTCCTTATTATTTACAAAGTGGATGGATGGCATTCAGTGCAATTATCAATCAAATAGACTTTTCTACTTAATCCTTCAAACTTCCAATTTCCTTCCCTTCAAAATTGATTTAAAAATTATTAAAGTAATGCAAACAAAATAAGGAATCAAAGGTTTTACAGTGTTTTCCTCACTTATATTATATGAAGAATTTTATCGTGTATTCAATTATAAGATGATCGTATTGGCTGAAACAAAAATCCATTTTATACATGAAGAATTAACGTTGAAAATTTACGAAATATCACGAAGTCTGACTCGACAGACAGGCAGACAGACAGACGCACACACACGGGCAGACGTATAGACGTTGGATTTAAAATTCATAAAATTTGTAAACTTAAATACATATCCTTATCCGCCATTTAAATTAAAACTAGCAGTACATGAGTGGTTGACAGATTTTTTCCATTCGGATATATCATTCCAGTCGTCCAATCAAGCATTTTCCACCGCATCTGTCACCATCCCAACAGCACTTCATAAAAGGAAACATCTGCAATTGAATTATGGATTGTTCAATTAAAGCATCATTAAGCCATATAATGTATACCTCACACCATCAACATTCACCTAACTGCTGTGATTGGACATCATGTATTTCTGGCAGATAGTTTCATGAGGGTTTCCTGAAGTATTTTTTAGAATGTTCTTCGTGATACATCAGCAAATTACCTTAGTAGTACTTTAGGATTTACTTGCTGAAAATATTTGCAGTAAATGAGTGATGAATAAGGTGCAAGGTATCTAATGAATAAACAAAAATTCGGTTTCCAATGACAAAATTTTCGAAAGACTAAAACTTCATTTCAGTAATTGGTATTGAGTAAGGAAATTTAAAAACCTTTAATTATCCGAAAAACAGAAAAGTAAGGGCACTATGTGTCATAAAACAAAAAAATTGATGTGACTTTTAGAAATTAAAACAGTTGTATTTCTTAATCTAAAAGCTTTTGTGTCTTCAGTTCTTTTTCTCCTATTTCTCCCCACTTTTCACTGTCTTGAAGCTTTACAAAAAGCATTGTCACCTATTAATGTTGTCGAACTTGAAAATGAGTCCAACTAATTTAGTTTGATTCAAATAAGCAATGATGGACACACTTCAACAGTAGATTATTAAAACGCTTTCAGGAAAATAATTATGAAGAAAGCATGAATCGAATCAATTTCTATTCCATTGATTTCTATTCTCTGTTTCACAACAAGGAATTTCATTGTTCCACCAATCAAATTCGATACATATTAATGGGTAACTTGTACCGAAAGGATTTTGATGAAACAAGTGGACAACAAACCATCGAATGGAAAAGTGATCAATGCACAATAGTAGGTGAAAGTTATTACTGAGATAAGTTTTCAAAAAAAAAAAAAAGACAAAGAGAGATGTTACTGAGCCAGCAATTTTTTTTTTTCTCTCTTTTCATAATGATTCCACTCTTCTTTTCATTTTTTTGAAGTGCACAATGACTCGAATTTTCGAACTGAAAAATTTTAATTTTTTAATCAATCCATGCTCTGATCATCGATGTAAAAGTGACGAGGATGAAGTGAATAGCGCAAATGAGTGGATGTAAATTAAAAGGAGTGATATTGTCACTTGAAAGAGGCATCATAATGTAAACAATAAATGCACAAAATTGAACAGATTTTGAATTGGCAAAAAAATCGATTCTTCCACATCATTTGGAGCAAGCAAAGATTTTCAATACTTTTTCGTCGATGGGATTTCAAAAAAACTATTGAAGTGATGGGAAGATTTGAAAAAGAAATCTTGAAACTGAGAATTTTGAGCAATCGATAATTCTGTTAGGCGATTTGTATGCAATTCTAATGCTATAGCGTTATCACAACATAAAAGTAAGATAATTGTTTTGCGAATCAGTGTTTAAACTGTAGCATAGAACTGATGATCATTCTTGACAAAAAAATATTCGTTGAGTTAACGCATGATAAGATTTACCGTGAATACGGTAGCATTCATATCTGCTCACACAATTCAAAATGATTTAACAAAACAATTTCCCTGTGATATCAGTGTTTTAATCACAGCACGGAAGGTGCAAATTGAAGTGAATATGCAGTTATATGACATTCTACTTTCCAGGCGGTCCTCACAAACAAGTAAGCGTTCAGTTCAGTTATTAACCAATATAATAATATTGTGATCAACGTGAAACTGACCATCCGCATGATTTTTTGAATCAAGTGAGACCTTGAGAAAATACTGGAAACGAATAGTAGTAATATAAACACATTAATTCATTCACGTGCAATGACCGAGGAACAACTGATGGCAGGCTGTCAATAAGTGGACTCACAGCTCGGGTTTCAGTCTGTTTCTTAATAAGGATAGTCAAATAATCAGTTTTCGATGGACAAAGCATCGGAAATCTGCCGTAGTTGTTTTCGTCGAATGTCAATAGGTTGTTTGATTGAAATACGTTCCATCTGAACTTTTGCTGGAACTGAAAGATTGTTTTCTAGAATCGTTTATCAGAATCCATAGGCATTTAGTGAAAGGAATCGAAATTATGGGAATGCTTCGGAATTTGAAAACTTTATTGGTTTAGAAACAATTTCCTAGCTACTGCTGAACATTGATTTTTCCCCTAAGGTTTATTAAGATCTTGACAGAAATTGATCCAACTCTGTTTCCCATCAAATTGTTTGCATCCAATCTCGAAATAAATCAATCCATACTGTTGGTGCTTTTGGAAATACTCAGGACTTGACAATGGATCTTCATCGTATAGCAAGCATTTGCCCAAAGTGACAACAAATGCTGCCGACTCCAATTTCAAAATTAAGTGCATAGAAAATCAAAATATGATCAGTTCGTATTAACAAATTTTAAAAATGTTTAGTGTCAGTTGCAAAGTGTCTTAAAAAACAAAATAAGAATGTAAATTTGGGGTTAACATTATAAGATATATTGACGAACCTATCCTTACTTCGTTTCAAGAGTCAAAACATATTTTAAACGATTTATAGAAAATGCTTTATATTATTACTGGAAGATGTGACATAATGAATAACAGGACAGATTTCGTGAAATCACATAAGCTAAATGATATCCGAATGGAAGAAGCCCCCTAACAAATAATACCTTGCAGTGAAAATGAGATGCCGAGAAACATAGCTCAATGCATCTGTATAATCCATGATGATCTCTCGCAATATCATCAGAAATCTCCCGGGGTTCGATATTTATGGCATAATCCAGGAACGCGATGAATTCCGAACATTGTTCGAGAATAATTAAACTTTCTGAAAGCGTAACGAAATTCTACAAGTATTCAACAGAAGTCTACATGATTAAGCATGAATGTAATATTTTCAACTAATCTTAATTTAAGTATTTAGGATTTTCATTTTTTAAAACTAATGATTGACAGAATAAGAATTAAACCTGGATAGCAGAATTTAACAGCCGTTAGAATGTTGAAGTCAGATTCAGATGATAGTAGAAAATGTAGAGAAGAAACGACCGCGTCGTTGTTGATATGTGTCACGCATTGTCGTTTAACTTCATCATATGTAAAAGAAGTACATTCTCTCCCGGAAATCTGTGATTCTTAACTTTAACTGAAGTAATTAATATAAGTGAAAATAAATGTATGTATTACAATTCACTGTATACATTATTGATCAATAAGAGGAAGAGAAGTGATAATTGTTATCTTTTTCTGTATGATTAATTCATTGATTTCTGTTGGGTAAATTGGCTTTATGTATAGTAAATATCAACAAACGAACAGTGATAAGGTTACACTTGGCTCTACAAGACTTATATGACCCAGCACTTGCTTTCTTTTGCAACTGATCGGTTCGCAATACGGCATTTTCCACAATCAGCCATACTTCACGTTCATTACTTTCACATACTACTGCTGTGCAGTTACAGTACTTGTAGATAAGTATTATTAGTTAATAAGTAGTTAGATTTAATGAGGCGAATTTGAACAATTTCCAAGATTGATATGATTTAGGAAAACAGAATTGAGTCAGAAGAGAGGTGAAAAAAATGGGACAGAAGTAGGATCTAGTAACACAAATCGTTTTCTGTTACGCTATCTAAATTTTTTTTTAGAAAGAATGCGACTGATATCATTTATCATAAATAATTCATGAAAGACATTCCTGGGACCTCTCTTTGGTTGACGAGAGAGCAGTGAAGATAAAGGCAGCATCAGTTTTATTGAAAAGGAAACCTGGTGGAAGAAGCCTTTCCGTTCTACCATTTCGTTTGGAGAGTGACTTTGAGATTGATTTAACTGCCGAGATTGGCGTTAATCTATCCACAATGGATTTCTCAGCATTCAGTGATGTCTCATTTGTGCTCTAAATAACTGTATCATCATACATTAGCATATATAAATTTTAAAACTACATAGACTGACATACATAAATTTTAATTTAATCAATTCAGAGAAGAGAAGCAATCAATTTAAGGGAATTCACAATTTGTAATTTCCCTTCAAGAAATATATGATTTGGAGAATTTTTCTTCAAGAATTCATCCATATAATTTGAACTCTTAAGAGCTTAGTCAAAGATAAAAGACTGGTTTGGCGGTTGGTGTCGTCGATTTCTTCCGGAAAATTGAATGCAACTGTGGTTGACCGTTGACCGTTATTAAGTGATATTCTGCGATGATTTGCAGATATTATCAGAAGTACAAGGATGAATTATTAGCTTTACCTCATCTAACTTTTCTGCATTCATTAATTGTCTTACGTCTTCCGGAGTCGCTTTCAATAGTTTATTCAAGTTGACATCGTCTTTCTGACGATTTTTTCCGAAATTTGCGCCAACTGCTGGAAGATTCCCAATGTTTCCGACAAAAGATAATGCATCATCAGAGGAACGTGTTTCATGCGTTGATTGTTCCAATGCTTTAGGTCTTCCGAATGCTGAATTAATAACCGAATCTTCTTTGTGCGTGGATAAGGACATTGGAAAGATTGGCGACGAAAATTCGGAAGCTGGTATCAGTTGGGCAGATTCGTCGTAATCGTTGATCTTCTCCATCAGAGAGTACTTTTGATAATGCAATTGGCCAAGAAGCAAAAGCACTAACAGTGATACTACTGGCAGAAATGACGGTTTTATCAGTAGTCATAATGGAAGTTGCAATGGTAGGGTTCGATTCGTCGAACTTTTCATGCTTCTTGAATTTTTGTTGGTTATCAAAATAATCAAAATAAGGAGTGGGAGTTATAGCTCGACCACCCGGTGGTACATGAATCAGCGGGTTTGAATGCGCTACTGCTGGCCATTGTAACTCAGTAAAACTCGTGCTAGTATCGTACTTCGGGGTAGACGATGATATTCCCGAGATTGCGAATTCTGAATCCAGAAATGCAAGGTTGGAGCCGTTTAGAAATTGATCTATAAGGGAAACAGAAGGTGAAGAAAAATTCCAAGTTGGTAGGAGCTGAACAACCAAATAATTAATTTATTGGTGCTAATTAATTCTAAGAAGTAGTAATTTGCCATTAAATTATTCAAATTGACATTAAATTCAGTAATTTTATATAATTTTATGAAAAAGATTCCTGTCTTGTGCCACTACTGTTTCTGGGGACAACAACTAGATCTTACCTAAGCATTTTTTTTCATTTACTCGGAAATAAACCATGCCACGAGCTGTTCGTGCATACTCCTGACCATCATGCAAGAAATAATAGCATATGTGTTGAAAGGTGTCATGGACTGTAGATCGACAACGAGACTGTAAAGTTATGCTGTTGAATTGGGGAAAGATTACTTTCAAAATGATGTGGAATTAAACTGGACATATACTAACTGAAAGAATATCTAACCAAAACGGATATTGACGCCCTTTTTCTCCAACTGGAAGAGCTGCCAGAAGAATCCGGACATTATATGGTTGGAAAGTTTTCCGGAATGTCTGCTTATATGTTCGCAATTAAAGATGGATGTAAATTTAAAGTGAAATTGTAAACAACAACAAAAAAAAACGAAACTTATAATACCGAAGAAAGTGCACAAAACAGTAAACACTGTCCCGGTGTTTTCATTCGCCATTCGCTATGATATGGCAACAAATTCGATAGCCGCTGATCAGTGTGTTCTTCGAAGCATGGCTTCAATGCTTTAAGGCATAGGCTTTTCAAATTTAAAATAATTCTATTTTGAAATCAAAAATTGCTAATAGTCACATTCTAGAAAAAGAGAAAAGGCGCAGAAATCGATCGATTGTTTCACGCTTGAAAACATTGCTACTTTTTATTTGCTCTCATTATTGTATGAATCACTTTATAATATCACTAATTATGCTGATATTATTTACTGCTATCTATTAGCTGTGCTGATTAGTGTCCCTTAAGAAGAAACTAAACTTGAAGAACTAAGTCTAATTTATATAAGCCAATAAGTTATTTGTACAATAACAAAATTCGTATTTTAGGATTTACTGGCTTATATTTCGCATTATTGATAGGCATTCCTTGATGATCGTTCTGACCGAACTTTAAATCTGTGGAGATAATTATAAAAAAGTGTGTTGGTGGTTTTGGTCAGCCTTGTTACGTTCGCTTCATTCCTGAAAGGATGAAGGAAGGCTGAGGAAGATGTAAAACTACCAGAAAATCAACAGTGACCTCAACTGAGGGAAAGGTCAACTAACAAAAATGGTGAAATTTGAAATTTACCATCAATACTTGCGTTGCAGTCTCCCACTTCAGAAGATAAAGATAACAACAGGAACAACAGCAAATTGATGGAAGAATCGGTGAAGCTAACAGTATTGGTCATTTCGTGAATATACCCTACCGAAAGGAAGAGGTTATTATTATCACCAATCAGATCGATAACTCTTAAACGTTGACAAAAGGAGGGTGTTTTCAGTGAAAGGAGCAACACAAGAATCAACATCATTTTATTAGTCCTATGGGTACGTGTCTGTAAAATGGTCTCTCATTTCCATCATCTTATTATTTCTCTAGAAACTTGAAATCTGTCCTAAATTGTATAATTCTTTTGTACAGAGTGTATTTGGGTGCATGTATGCGCGTAGAAATACGTCATAATAGGTAAAAGAGAGCGAACCAGGTCATCAGTCAACAACAAACCACACTTCTTACTTCACCTTCACATGCGTACTTTTGGACTTTTTGATTCTTTGAAACAAATCCACTGAAGCCTACCAACCCTCTAAACCGATTAGTTCTACGAACTAATTGGTTTAGGAAATCGTCTTCATTTTGATTATAACCATCAAATCAAAACAACATAATCTCTCGATAAGAACAAGTACGGGATATAAAAAACCCCATCAAACTTGTCAAAACTGAAAATCCAATTAATATCAACTATCGAAATTCCAGATCTTCAGGGTTGTTCAAACTAAAAAATCTAAACAGCCTTAAACCAGCGAAACAAAAACACTCAACCACATCATTTACGTACTTGATCACTGTTGTTTATCACTCTTTTCCGAATGTCTGATATATATTTTCGCAAGATTAAGCAAAATAAAACGTAATGAACAACGATTATAACACCAGATTGCAATAATTTAAATTTACATGAAGGAGGAAAGAAACAAACAGATGGTAAATGAATGGAGCAGATGTATTCGTTCTTCACAATTTCATGTTAACAAACTGAAAATCGATTAAAACAGACGGTAAAATCATGGCAATAGGATGTGAAATTTAGGTCTTTGGTGTAAGTAATCAAAACCAAAAATCCAGAAATTTAGGAGTGATTTTTAAAAAAGAAACTTATGCAATGCATGTAGAAAAACTGTGGAATACAAACTTGTCAGCAAAATAGCAAATAAAAGTTACAAGGAACTGAGTCCAATAAAAGCTGTAAGTTTTATAAAATGTTGCAACACAGCAATTCCATACTCATAACCATTAATCGAATAAACAAAATCCCTAACTATAGCAATTAGTAAATAAGAATTACAAAAATCTCAGAATAACCACTGAACACATTTACTGGTCGGTGGACTAGTATTCATGGCTACTATCATAAACCTTTCCAGGAAATCAAAATATAATCATGTCCATTTACGCCATTATGAAGCACTACAGCGAATAAATAGAAAATTCAGATATTTAACATAAAATATATAATTAGCAGTTACAAGAATATCTTTACATTATTGGAGAAACGTTCTACCTAAATTAACATTTGAAAAGCGTGAAGAACAAAGAAGTGCACAAAAGAGGTCCTTTTAGAGAAGACAGTGAAACTGCTGTGTTGTAGAATCTATAAATCCTTTTTTCTTTTTTCATTTGCCAATACCTCCTTTTATTTCCGTTGCAATTTTCTTCTGTCGCTTCAGTTCCTCAGCATCAAGTGTAGTACGTAATTCACCAACAATCTGCTTAGTTTTTCCAAAGTAAACTTCATTTAAGGTTGATCGAATTTTACTCTCCATGTCCTGAAAATGAACACTTTGGTTATTTAAATTTGGTCCAGTTATTAATTCATTAGTGACCAACATTTTTAAATTCAGGAAGGAAAAAATATATATGGATGCTAATGTAAGGATTAAACGGTTCTTCTAAATTGAAAAGACGAAAAATTCCGAAAGATTTCTCACCTCTATCATTTTGCCAATATTAATGAGATGGGTATTTGTAGAATCGTTTACTGGATGGTCAGCTTCAACCTAAGGTAATAAAATAGTAAACATGAATGAAACAAAAACTTGAAGTAGGAGCAAAATCATTTATTTGTAGTTACCAATAATAAAGATGAAAATCACCTGTCGCGTAATTGATCCTCCTAAATTCATCATGCCGCTTGCTTGCTTGGTCATTTGTAGCCAAAGCATCACTGTACTTGTGAGTTTGTAGTGTGCGTGCCTCCCACCAGCCTGAAAATTTGTCATCTTAAATTTCAATTCAACTGTCGAAAAACAAAGAAGAGAAATAAGAGCAGCAATTAATAGTGCATTTTCCGTAAAAATCAGTAAAGAACAAGAAAGTCTGCAAAAGTGTAAAAGAAAGTATACTTTTTCTTGTATTTCGATTACATGGATTGAATCCCAGCAACCCTGTATATTACGCAAACCATCTCCGATTTTTTTGATTAAGACAACGCCTGCAAAACCATAGTCCAAATCCCAGAAGTACACTGACGATACACCACCCTCAAAATATCTGCAAAAATATTCTTTGTGATCCAGATTTCTTCAGCAACGACAATTTGATGAAGGATGACATTAATCAACAACTTATATTCACGCATCTCTGTAAGCCTCGAATGCAGCATTCATTCAATCAGTTTTCGATACATTTTCGAACACATACACTTTCGAACACTGCAACATGCTAAAAGTCGCATATTTCATACTAGCCAAGAATGTGCATAATAAAACTTCTGATTTTTCGGAACTTTTTTAATTTTTTTTGATTTTAAAACACCTCAAATTCATTTGCTGAAGCATTCATACTAGTATAGACTTACGCATCTCTGTAAGCCTCGAATGCAGCATTCATTTCAATTTCTAGCTTACGAAGCTTATCTGATGGCGAAGCACCGTCTTCCAGTGGTGGATCATAGGTATTTGACCATGGTGAGCTGAAAATATTTGAATAACATGTAGTGATACAGAAATAGTGACAAAGGTCCAACAAATAAGCCTCAAGGCGAATGTGACTGGATCCTACCTAGAAAATTGTGAGCAAAAATTAAACAAAATTCAAAAGGCTTCAAAAAAAAACCAACCGATAACTATCGCTATCTCTGTTATAATCACAAAGGAGGTATTCCTTCCCTGTTTCTTTATCACGAGCAATTTTCAACGGTTGATCAACCGCACTCAACAAGTCATCCACCAAGCGAGGACACAAATCTATTAGATTGTTCAAATTCCTTTCTACTTGTTGAGGTGGCAAACGCCTCATCAAGTCCAACGCGCAGTCGAGCTGCTGGTCTCCCTGGAAACATTTAACGGAAATTTCTTCTTGCACAATTTTGACAACTTTGAATGACTGCCCTTCAATGATTTCATGAAATCTTTAAGGAATTGTAGCACTGATTCCACTGTTATCTGATGAAAAGTGATACAGCTTAAGGTTTCATGTCTACTTTGCATTTTTGTATTTCGGAGTTACAGGCTTTTTTTTTCTTTTCTTTTCCATAAAGACGGGTAGAGATGAGTAAAGGAGTCAACAAAAGATTGATGAAATGAAATCATTCAGATCGAGTATTAGAACATACCATAACTCTCTGAAGACCAGAGATTCTTGGGCACACAGTTAAAGCAGAAGATGAAGTACAAGCAACTCCTTTTTTGTTGCACCTAGAAACAAAACAATGGTGATAAATAATAACGTGCCACTGATGACATAACCATAAAAATAAACACTTAGGATGTAAAGTTATGTAGTAAAGAAGAAGTGCATTCAATCTAGAAATTTTATTACATCAAATAAAATTCTACTAGTCATTTCGATATTAATAAAATAACTCTTCTCGACGCTATTCAACGATTTTTTCTGGTAATACGCCCAATAATACAGATTAGCTGCTTACAGCTAATACCACCACATCAAATTAATTAGGAACCACAACTCTCAGTCCACACCAAATCATCCCAACAGTTATGGTGGAAGAAATGCACTACTTCAGGGATCAATTCATTTCGCACCTTTGTAGCATGCAACCAAAGCTTAATCTGACTAATGCTGCAGGTGTAATCCTTCTGCTGGAGGTTATGAGAGTTATAGTGTGTCTCTAATTTGGAAGTTATGTTTTCGAAATGTTAAAGGAAGGGGGAATGGAGGATTAAATACAGCGTACGCTAAACTTTAAGAGACAACGTACTGCAGACGATTAAGAAATTTTTTAGTTTTCGAACAGTGACAGGAACGCTGATTACGGGGGAGATGATATTATGAAGAAGTGAGGTTGAGGTCAAGAAGAGAAATTAGATATTTTGTGTGTGACAGATCCCATCCTGATGAAATGCCATTTCCGGCAGTACGTCACGCTTAGCCATCGCTGAATTTCGCCCTGATTATTTTCAGCACTTCATTTTACCATATCCTGTTTTCTAAAGGAATTAAACAGCCTATATATTTACTAAAGAACTGATGTCGTATTCTGAGGTAATTCGGTACCATATGGCATGTAAGATGTGGATATCATGTACTAAACATTGTAAGATCTTGGTACAATTTAATGTGCTAAAGGAACTAAGTACTGTTCACCACAAACTGTGAGAATTGATTGTCAAAGTTTCGCTAATTGAGACCTTGGGATTCGTCACAAAGATTTTGTGCATAATAAATTCGCAATCGAATATACTGACCAAAATTTAGCCAAGTAAATGACCAACTTATTAAGAAGTCCGGCCAAAATTTGAGTATAATGAAATTTTAGTTCGAAGGGAATTTAAAGAGAATTCATTGTTCCTCGTCATTTTGTTTAATATTAGTTGAAATCATCCACTGCTGTGAAGAAAACTGCACGAGCATTTTAATTAAAAAAACTTGAAGCCAACTGTTTCTTGAGCAGCTCCCTCCCAATTCATCTGGTACCAGGTTTTCTAACTTTGTAATTTTTCATAGAACTTTTCTGAGAATTTGAACTCGATAAAGAATTTTGAAACGCCAGATGAAAATAAATGGCTTCTGCTGGTTGTTTAAGTAATAGTTTCACGTTGTAAGACATCCAATTTTTGTTCCATACAAATTTCGCTGCCAACGTAAGTCATAATTTGAAGAAATACAAAGTGACTAAACAATAAGATGGTTTTTCACAAACAGGAAACTGAGTCGGAAATTGTATTTAGAATTCTCAGAGACGTTTCAATTATTAGTTATTGCTTAGGAGTTTCGCAGTTTCAATGGATGTTAATGTATGGATAGAAATGAAATGAAATTTTAGAATAGTCGAAGAGCAATTTAGTTGAAATCAAAATTTTCAATTTGTTTGGGTTGAATTCATTCTTGTCCTCAAAAAAAAAGTGAACCAGAACCACTACATAAAACTGTTTTGGTGCGAACAGTGAAAGAAGCTAACGAAAGGCCATCCTCTTTCTATCCCATCCTTACGATGAATGACATGCACCATTTCTTCCTCATTTTACATATCCATCCCTCAAACGAAAACTGTAGATAATTTTGGTGAAAAGCTTGAATTTATAGTCACTTCCTTTGGGATTCATTTCAAGGATATCATACTGGGATTCATTTTATTTCAGGATGTCATAGTGGAACTAAACTGCAGAAGAAGAGAAAAATGCAAGGAGTGATTTGTCCGCAGGACTCACCCGATGTGTGGTCAGTCATAGAATGTGGACAACTGGAGGTGGAGGGTAGCACGGATCTCGATTTACTTTTACCAAATGGTTTCTTGGTCACTGTACGATGTTCTATGGATTTCACCCTTGCTATGCTTAAACAAGAATTATTCATACAAGCGAAAAAGTAATGTTTTCTTTTTCTGTGCTTGCATCATTTAATATCCCAGCAAATATTACGGCCACGTAAGAAGTGGAATTCATTGCAAGCGGTTAGTTCTCCTCCGTCTTTTTCTGATAGTTTTAAGAGTCTTAAGCCGAATCTGGTTATTACGTAAGAGTAGTAATATTCTGGAATATTAGAGATGGAGTAAAGCATTCATATGTTCCGAACGGAGTTATAGTTTCGTAGCATCCTGTATTTGAATATTTTGGTTTGTGAAGAGATGATATAGTATAAATGATACAGCAAAGCATAGTAGTAGCTCATACTCACAAATTCTCAGTTGTTATTGGGAGACGTGGCAAAATTCAGATTTGAAATTGAAGATATTTGCCGTATAAGAAATCTAAATTGAAGGGATTCTTTTTCGGATAACAAACTTTTTAAAAACTATTCAAAGAATTGGCATCTATTCAGATTACCGCTGTTCAATCTTTTGTTGACACCGTCGGATTATATATTTTTTACGATTAGAACAGATGGTGAACGTGAAGAACTATACGATGAATCGCGTTCCATATTTTCATTACGGCTTTTCGTGCCACTACTTTGCTTGATTGAGCCTGAGGGCAATCGTGAGGAAAAAGAACTCACACATGATATCGGTAATTTCTTGCGTTTCAAATGGTATTATAGGCACTCATGAATAAATTTTAGCCAAACTCTGTAGAAATTTCTTGAAATCAGTTGTTATTCTAAGATACTTTTTATTGTTTAATAATTTCAACCTTTCCCAGATGTAGACTGTCTTGGAAACCCGTAATTCATCCTCTTTCATGTTAAATTTTTTAATTTAATCAGGACTTTAACTTGCGTGAAGGAGAAGTTTAATATCATAATTAAAAGTGTTGATTTTTTAAATCTTCAGGTCTAGCTATTGGACGTCCGTTGGCAGAAATTGAAGCGAAATTATCCTCCGAAGAAATGTCATATCGTATGGATTTGTACAGAGTGTCAGAACAAGCAGTTTCTAATCGCGGAGTTGTCGGCTATTCTCATTATGCATTCCCTGAAGAGGTTTCAAGTGAGTTAGATGCTGATATCCCACTACAAGTCAAGTCAAAAATCCAAAGTAATGTTTTCACTATCATCTTTTCAAAATTTTATTACAGTTTTTATGTTTGTTACGCGATGAGGTTGGTATAGATAACTAATTTGTAAAGGGAAAGTTGAGTGTAAAGGAATAATTTAAACCTGAACAAATGTTTGGAGAAATAAAATAAAACTTTTACAATGCTAATTTGTCTATTAATGTTGAGCGCTTTTGGATGTGGACACTGTCATGTGTTTTGAATCACTGAGAGTTTCCACTACTAAAAATCGAGTCTTAAGTCATACTAGTTTGTAAAGCCTATAATTAGATTTGCTTACTTTAAATAAACTGAATTTTAGTGGCAGATTTATACATTGAGTTATGGTATCGCAGTAGAGAGGATGAGCTGGCAAATATCGATACGAATTGTGTTTGTGTTAAAATTCGTAAAGTTATTGGTGTTCATGCTTCAGATGCAGTAGCAAATGCAATAAAGGAGCTTATGCAACAACATAAATTATTTGTAATAAATTGATTATTTGAGATTTCTTTTCATCTTTTTAAACACGTCCCTTCAGAGCGGAAAGTTTGGGGCTAACAAGATGGCGGTGGAGAAGGAAAGATGTTAAGCGAATTTTTTAAAAAAAGAAACGGATCTCAGTTTCTGAACAAATTTCATTCCAGATCAAGGAAGCTGCTTCTGATTTCTTGTTGCAAATAGCAGGACGGCGCTGTTTTTTAACCAAGGATATCAAGTTAACCAGCTTCGAGGTAATTTTTCTTCTTTCACTGTAGTTTATATGGTAATTATTTTATCATTTTAATGTTTCCAGTAGATCATGATCTTTAGTTTCTGTATAGTATGTCAGATCATCCTTCGAGAACTATCGCATACCGAAATTCATATTGCGGAGAAAAGACATTGTGATGAAAGATTTTACGGAACCTCCATCCATAACCAAAGTGAGTCTTTTGTATTTTCCTACGTATATTAATACGTGTATTAATTTATTTATATTCAACAAATGCTTTGGGTGAATCAAACATTGGAAAACATACAATGTGAGTTTCTGAGAATCGATTTGTTAGAGTTACTTGGTCGAATTTGATCGACCATCGAACGTGTTTAGCGCTTCAGTACATTCCTAATTATTAGCAGACTTTTTATATCTTCAATAACTCACAGATGCTTAAAAGCTAAAAAGTTACAATGACTTTTTAAATTATCGGCGTCTTTGCTGTTTTTTGCTTTAACTTCTTTAATTGTAAATCCCTCTATTATTTTAGCCAAGTTGGGTACGAGCGTATGAGAGTCGACTCGATCGAGCTGATGAAATTGCCATGAAAGTTTGCATTTCTAATTGATAATGTTTGTTCTCGCTTATCTTCGGGGAATTTAACCGAACTTCAAGAGGGTAATTAACGATTTTCCAGTGAAATCTAAAAACTGAACTTAAATTCAACTGAATTTAGGAATGTTCTCTATGGAAAGTGGATGATAATCTAAAATTGCGAATACACAGCGCATCTCATTTAAGTATATTAGATTTTGATAAGATATATGTGAAAGCATCCCTATATCATGGGATAGATCTTATTGCGAATAAAGAATCAACTTGTGTTTCTCCTTCAAATCCGCGTTGGAGTGATGTGAGTAACATTCGTGTTCTTTTTAAATTTGGTTACATATTGTCGGATTTTCAGGGCTGATATATTATCTAATTTTCAGGGCTGGATCGATTTCGATATATGTTTGAGAGATTTGGCTCTCTCTGTACAGCTGTGCCTTTCTCTAGTTGCTGTAAAACAAAAAAAGAAGGAGGTCGATTTTAATTTTCCATTTAGTTTTCAAATATATGTAGTATTTTTCAGATACGATTTCTTAATTTGTTTAAGGAATATAGTGGAATTGGTTGGGTGAATATACGTCTTTTCGATTGCAATGGGAAACTCGTTCAGGGCAAATTCATGCTTTATTTGTGGCCTTTTCCGAAATACTGCACCGAATTACTTTATCCATCCGGACAAGTAACATCTTTATATCTCAGCTGAAAAATTGTAGGATTTTCTAGCTCATTATTTCCTGCTCCAAGTGCTAAAAATATCCCCATATTCAATATTGTTCATCTCTTCGGTATTTGGAGAGCTAAAGGCGGGTATCCTGAGTATCGTCCTTTCGAGGGGATTTCACGATACCAGTTGTTAAATCATTTATTTCATTTCATAAGTAATTGTAGTACGATCCTTTGAATGCCGAAATATAAGCCCTGAACAAACATATCTTCTTTGTCAAAGTTGTACCTTGGTTCGCTTTCACATTTGTTTGCATATCATGCCATGATAGGTTTTGTTAGACTTTCTAAAAATATTTTTATAGTTAATAAAATACAAGCAATGGTCCAGCTATATTTATGTAATGTGTGTGAGAGTCAAATGTCTTTTAGGTAGGGTCAAATGACAATCGCGATACAGTTCGTATTGAAGTGGAGTTTGAAGATTATGGATGCATCGAATTTCCAGGTGTAGATTCAGTGTGCGAATATGTCGAAAAGCTGGATGTTCGCAGTACAAGATTGCCTTTATCATCTTTATCTTCAGTATGTGATTAATTCGTACTGAATTCTTCATGAGACTCTTACCCTTTTACCTACGAGGTTTACAAGTAACAAGGCTTTTATAGCCAGCTAATTCAGTGAAGGAATTTCTTGAATCTTTACGATTTGTGGACGTTGAAGATTTAACCGACAAGCAAATGGAACAGTTATGGGAAGCAAGGTAACTTTTAAAACTGGTCAGATGTTATTTTTATCTTATCACAATATAAATACGATAAGCTCATAGTCGCTGACATTGAACCACACTTTCATTCCTTCAGTTAGTCGCACAATATTTTAGAGAGTTAGTTGCACAATATAAGCCTGATTTATTACCATTAATTGCACGCTGTCCCTTGATTTGGACGAGAAGAAGCGAATTTTCACGATTATACGAATTATTAAATCGATGGGGTAAAATTCAACCAGAGACAGCTTTGGTACTTCTGGATTTCAAATATCCTGATAGAAGAATCCGAGAATTTGCAGTAGATTCACTTGATAATGTTTTGGACAATGACAGATTGCATCTTTATATTTTGCCTCTCATTCAGGTAAACTGTCCTTTTAAAATATTAGGTGATGGATGCATTTGAAGATTTCTAGAATTTCCATAATTTGACTTCATTGCGCTTTATTGATGGTTTCTTTGCTGAACACTCTTCTTATTTACTGCAGTACAAGAAAAACTGGATATATTGAAGCTTACAATGTAAGGTAATACATTGTAACATTTTTGCTTCGAAATATTTTATTCTTCACCAAGCTGTTGATACTATGATGAAAATGGCTACTGTTTTGATTGCAGGTATTGAAATTTGAGCCTTATGGGTCGTGTGCTTTGAGCAGAATGCTTCTGAAAAGAGCGCTGTGTAATAATCGTATTGGTCATATATTGTTTTGGTTACTGCGAGCTGAACTTGGACAACTAAGTAATTACCCCTTTACAAAACAAAGAATATAATTTTACAAGTTGTTTTTTCCTTTTTTCAAAAATTCAACCAACTAACGATATTTAACGATATTTACTAATCGACTTTTCAGGTGAAGTAGGTCAGAATTTAACAAAGATTTACAAACGTTTTGCATTAATGATTGAGGCCTATTGTCGAGCTAACTATATTCATCTTAATTCTATGTTACGACAAGTCGATATGGTAGTCAGATTGACAAATCTTAGTAAAATTATCAAAACCATGAAGGATAATGAATGCGCCACCAAGGTAACAATTCTGATAACTTTTTGATCTTTATCACATCATATTTATCACATCATTTATCACACCATATCATTCAGTATTTAATCGAGTCACTTTCTGTCATTGCAGTCGATGTCATGTTTATTTCATTTAATCTCCCACTTTTTTAGGTAATGTTGGTCTGTGGGAAACATATTCCATATTTCTCTGTTGTAGGTACATTTTCCATTCAGACATATCGTCTTCACTACCCACTCTCCTAAATTTTATATATGTGACCTGGAAACATCTCAAAAATAAATTTCCATGGACTTAAATTTAACTCTTATTTTTTTAGCATTTGCAAAAAGAATTGGCGTCATATGTGGAAATAATGCAGAATATGATCTCACCTCTAGATATTTCCGATAGTTTAGGCGAATTAAAGTGAGTCCCCTTTCACCTACCTCAATTCTACAAAAGTCGATGCAAATACATTTGTAAGAAAATCTCACGGAATACAAAATGCTTACGATTAAGCTACTTTTTTTTAGCATTGAACTTTGCAAGGTGATAGGAAGTGCGAAACAACCACTTCGGTTAGCTTGGACTAATCCAGAACCTCTTGCTCGATTGCATAGTGAGACGCATCAAATTATCTTCAAGAATGGTGACGGTAGGCATTCTTGAATAATGATTATTTTTTATCGTTTGGAAATCTTATCGACAATTATGGCTATTATTATTCCCATATATGACATCAGTTCAAAAACTTCAGTTAAAGAATTGTTTGCTCTTAGTTGAAATCATACATTCTATATGCGTGATTTTCCCACTAATATTGCTGGGCTGTTACTACGACATTTTCACTTTTACTAGCATTTATATGCTGACATTTTGATTTTTTTTTTTTTTTACATTTATATGCTTTAGGTTTATTGATCTTAAATTTTAGATCTGCGGCAGGATATGCTAACTTTACAAGTTATGCGTATTATGGATGCACTGTGGAAAAGCAAAGATTATGATCTCTGCTTAAGCATTTATGAAGTATTGCCAATGGGAAGAAATGTAAGATATCGAGAACGATTTTTGGATATGCAATCGACAAAACTTTACTAAATAAAGTGAAACTAATACGATTTGATGTGGGGTCATTTTGCAATATGAAAATAAAAGGACAGACTTGCAGGTTGGAATGATTTATGTTGTTCAGAACTGCAGTACACTTTTCGAAATTCAGTGTGCTGCAAAACAACTCGGCTCAACGTTCAGTATGGAAAGCGGTCTTATTAATAAATATATACGAAATTGTTCGGAGAATTCAAAAGTGTACGTTTATAATTCCAAAAAAAAAAAAAGAATCGGATCACTTTTTCAATCCCATACAGAATAAGTTCACGTTAAGGTGAATTCGTTTAATTGGCCAAAATACTTCATTCTGAAGCTATTTCTCATCTTTTTATCCTATCTTTCTCGGTCCTTTCAAATTTATCGTACTATATTACGATCAAATGATAATGAGGAAATATTGTTAGGACAAAATACTTCCTGGGCATTATTCATGGAAGTTTAGCTATGAACTTTCTTACAGATATTTGGAAGGAGTTGATCGTTTTACTGCTTCATGTGCCGGATATTGTGTTGCAACATATGTGTTGGGAATCAAGGATAGACACCAGGATAATATCATGCTAGCCAAAGATGGAAGGGTAGCTTGCTAACTAGTCAACTTCTTTGATGATCAGTTTTGCAATTTTAAATCAACTGCCAACTTTTAATTTTAAAACAACGGTTTTGCAGATGTTCCATATCGATTTTGGACATTTTTTGGGGCATTATAAAAAGAAATTAGGTATTAATCGTGACCGAGTACCGTTTGTTCTGACCGATCACTTTCTGTGTGTTATAGCCAAAGGCAAAAGCAATTTCCGTGACAGCCATGAATATAAAAAGTAAGTAAATACGTATCTCTTATGCACATTCTTACCAACTTCATTGTTTATTGGGGAAAAATGGAAAATTATTTTAGGTTCAAGAAGCTATGTACGGATGCATATATTATATTGCATCAACGGTCCAAGTTATTCATTTCCCTCTTTTCGATACTACTATGTATGGGACTTCCTGAGTTGCAAAAGGTAACTAATGCAATAGATTTTCTGAGCTTATATATATATATATATATATATATATATATATATATATATATATATATAT